AAACAAAAACAACGACGTTTTGCGATCATTGTTTCACATTTATAATTTGGGCTGTGACATTGCCACGCGATTACCGTTTATCTGCGTGTTCAGTTCTCTCGTGCCTCTCTCGAAGTGTTAATTCACATCTCCACTAATTAACATCTACATTAATTCACATCTACAACGCAAACACACCGAAACTCTCCATGTGTGGGTAATGTTACAACGATATAAAAAAAAAACACAAATATTGCCGCTGTTTAAATAACTAGAAAATATAGAGCAGCTTATACGTTCTATAAAAAAATAAATGTTCCGATTTAAACTTTAAACTCTCATAGCTCTCCGATGCATTCTCGGGTTGTGCCACCGTGTGTTGTTCGGCACAATGTCCGACGTTTCACTCGACGTGCTGGAACCTTCTTTAGGAAACGTTAGTGAGCAGCTCACGTGCTCCCTCCGTAGTATAGCGTGATTTCACTGGTAAAGAACTTTCACGCGATCGTTATTCTTCCTGGAAGTGCAGCAAAGTACGAAAATAAAAATTATGACCTGCTTCCGTTCCTCCCTTAAGGCGCAGCCCTGCAAATGCCCGCTCACCTCACCGCCTCCACGACAGGGAGCTTTACAGGGTCCCTGCACAGGGTATCTTGGCCAGACGTCTTGGAAGATGTCCGAGTACCCACAATTAACCCCACCACACGCGGCCAAACCGATCGACTAACTGTGACGAACCCAGTTTAACTTGTAGGCTTAAAAAAAACCGCGTTATTGTGGTGAACCCATTAATATGGCTGCTGAGTGGACAGAGGTGGCGGTTGTTGTGGTTTAAGAAACGTGCCGTGCCGAGAGATCGAACCTGAACCTGCAACTTCTGGATCGCGTGCACAAGTGTGCAAGACACGAATAAAAGTATCCTGGAGTAGAGGAAGCAATGAGCCTGTTGTTGAACGTGGCCCAGGAGGAGGGGGATTGAGTGAGCGAGTGAGCGAGTGGGCTGGGCAAGACGCGGGTGGTCGTGAGTGGATTACTTATCGCTTCGTGTCCACCGTTTGTGTACCAGCGTGCGTGCGTGCGTCATCCGGTGACTTTTAAACGTTTGTGAATGCTGCTCACAGGGTTTTCGCACTGCAGAATTTCCGGGGGCATGCGTACGCAACTCTCTCTCAACGGCCGCGTCATTCGCTCGCGTCCGCGAGTGCTCTCGCTGATGAATGCGCATGTGCCCTCGACAATTCTCATGGGCAATTTCCATAATAATGATTTTAAAAAACGAGTGTGGTAAGTCACTAATTTAACCTGGCCAACATCCCGCCCGTGATTTATTGTCACACATTGGAACATTCCAATTTGGTAATGCGTCTTTTTTTAAATTAAGAAATGCGTCTCTGAAAACAACAAAACAACAGTGATAGTACAAATTTAATGTAAAGGTGCAGCCCTGCAATTTCTTCTTTATGCCTTTGGGGGTGGTGGAAGGGCCCCCCACTAAAGGCGGCTCTGGCGAGCCCCATAGAGATGGTGCTCTCGTTTTGAGAGACGCTCCAGACTCTAGAGCAGTGGTTCTTAATCTTTACTGCAGCCTTACAGCACACCGGTGGGCTAAAGAAGTGAATTATTTTGTCCTTTGAAAAACGTGACAATTTTTTTTACTATTTGGCCGTGTCGGGTGGTGGAGGGTTACGACACATTTATAAATAACGCGATCTGACCCCAAAACCTATATTATGAAGCCCTGCACCCCTTGGGTTCTCAATGGGAAAAAAAATGCGTTATGTTAATAAATACATAGGCTTTGATGAAACAAAGTAGTTGTACTTATGAGCCAATGCTTAATTTGTGTTTCCATGATTCACCTTCTAAAAACACCTGCCCACGTCTCCCACCCCCAGAAAGGGCATCTCGCACCCCCAGGAAGTGCGTGTACCCCAGGTTAAGAAGAACCGCTGCTCGAGATGGTGTTTTGGCCTACTCTTCCATCCTGGCCGGACTGTCTTGGGAAACATGAGACTACCCACACTTTAGCCACCGTGCGCAACCTGCCATTCGACTAACTGTGGTGCACCCATTCGTACTGTATAGATAAACCGTTGCTGTAGTAATTATGGGGACTGCATTTACTGTTGTTTATCCAGAGAGAGCCGTGTCGAGTCTCAAGTCCCTTTTTTTGGAGGAGGGTCCTGCTCATGGGATGTTTGGTAAATTCCATTGAAGAGTTCCATTGTTACGCATGAAAACCGCGCTCGCTGCGGAGTGAATACCAGATTAGTTTTGCACGCTCATTGACAAACTTGTGCGTGAGCGTTTGCATGGGATATATGATTGACGGCTCGGTCACGTGAGTTACAAAGAAAATGCCATGCGGTGCTTTAATCGTGTAATGGAGGCTTCGGTTTTGCAGACCCGTACAGCTGTACAGGATGGGTCTCCAGTGCCCAACACCATAGACAGCCACCAGGCAACACTCCTCATAGGGATAGTGGTTGATTGATGAGCCTCCTCTATACTAGAGGTGCCACCATTGGGTTTGTTGCTACGCTGGGAAATTGGCCTCAAGTCAAAATCAAGCAAACGTGTTTACCAGCTCAACCGAGGAGCATGCTGGTGGGATTCATCATCCAAGCCGAGCCAGTGGTAGAACTTTCTATCGATAAGAAGACCACTGTTGGCTGTGCGCAAAACGGAACTTGTTGCCTTAACTCTGTGGAGTCGGATGAGCCAATCACCGACTGGGATTTGAACTCACAACCTTCCTCAATGACTCAAGCACTCTAACCACACTGCACCACTCTAATTGGAGCACAGGTCTGGCCAACCAAGAAAGCGCAGGGTTTTCATTTAATTGTAATGCTCTTTGCATTGTGTCATGTTGGTGACGATGCACTGCACGCATGTTAATCGAGATACAGTATATAAAACAAATGAGCGAAATAAATAGGAATATTTAACTGTTTTGTCATTCAAAGGAGTCAAGCCGCATTTTGGCATGGCCATGTAGTGGCATACAATGAGTCACTGGAGCGCGTAGCGTTGGGGACTGATAGAACGGCATTACGGGGAGCAGCCCGCTCTAACCAGTGGGACACGTGGGTGAGGCCCGGAGGCTTCTGGGGGATCCAGAAGGGGGCGTGGCTGAGCTCCGACTGACAGTCTAGGAAGCATGTTGGCTGTCCTGACCCGATATGTAGTTATCCGCTATGGCTGTGAAGGTCGGAATGAACAAGAGAGAGAGAGTGCCTCCTACTCGTGTCTCTGAATTAGTACACGACATCCCCATGTAGCAAGGGGTCCCGATGCCGTGCGAGTCATGGAGGTTGTTTAATCATACTTCACCACGCTGGTCAGTGCGGGATGGTGAAGGCGGGGAGCATAGATGAAGCAGCACAGCGGTACAGTACAACTATAGATTTGGCTGCACTGCCCTCTGCTGCCAACCATGTAACTTCTAGATTATACAACTGTATAAACACATGACATATATAGCGTACTACCTTCTAAACACGCGACAGAGGGGGGGGGGCATAAAACAATCATAACCTCCAACACGCACACGGTATGGAATATTACACGAATTATTGACAATTGCAGCAACATCTAATTCCCCGATACGGGCAGTCCTCGACCTACAAGCACAGTTCCTTTCCGAGACCCGTTCGTAAGTCGAACGCTTTGCAAGTCAGAACACGGTAATGTACGTAACTGTACACATACCTGTCAACCCCTTGTCAATGCCCTACCTTATTACAGACCAATTTAGACCTCATTGGTCACCCCGTGGCCCCTTACAAATCTCAACGTTCATCTACAAAGTCCCATCACAAGGAAGAAACACTAACAAACGCACAAAAAATATTGCCGTATTGAAACGGCTGTACGCAGTGTGGACCTTAAAAATCAATTCCCCTGTACAAGCATACGGGTAAACCGTATGGGTTGACAGTGATGTGTACATATAGGAAAATCAGTGCCGGATTATCCTAGTAGCAAAAGTAGCATATGCTACAGGCCCCGCACTTTTAAGGGCCCCGCGCTAAATGCACTTGCTCTATTTCTATAGTACTATACTGCCTTCAACTTTATATGAACGACTGGGTGTTTAAGGTTAGCGATTTGTCGTATTATCTGGCTGTATAGCAAATGAAAAAATACAATTACTCGGCAAGTTTTTATATTTATGTGTTTTTATTTTTATTTAGGGCCTCTTTATAACATATGTTATAGGCCCCGCACTAGCTTAATCCGGCACTGAGATCCACTTTCCAACATGTGTTGGTCGTCGAATATGAGCATGGCTGTTGAACGGGGCACACCGTGACGGCATCCTGTGTTCCCGTGTGAATACACACACTGAACCTTGGTGCATCGGGGGGTCCTTGGACACCACGAGGCTATTTTTGGTCGCTGCCCTTCAGAATGTTATTAATGAGCTTGCAAACCTGTGTGTGCGAATTTTCGTTTTTGTTGTTGTTAATTGGGTCACCGACTTGAAATCCAGGGTTGATATTTTACACAAATATTGGCACTGTTTTAAAGAACGAGAAAATATAGAGCAGCTTAAACGTTCTATAAAAAAAAGTGCCGATTTAAACTTTAAACTCTCATAGCTCTCCGATGCATTCTCAGGTTGTGCCACTGCGTGCTGTTTGGTACGATGTCCGACGTTTCACTCGACGTGCTGGAACCTTCTCCAGGAAACGGAATTGAGCATCTCACGTGCTCCCTCCGTAGTATAGCGTTGTCGGCCGCGAATTACTGATCTCACTGGTAAAGGACTTTCACGTGATCGTTTTTATTCCTGGAAGTGAAGGAAAGTACGAAAATAATAATAACCTGCTTCCATTCCTCCCTTAAATCCACCCTCTTCTCCCGAGCCCATCCTGCTACGGTCCGAAAGAAGTTCAACATGCACACATAGTTTGATGTCCTTCCCCCACCCCTCCGATTAGCACGGTTGGCAACGTACGGTGCAAAAGAAGTTTAACACATGCGTACGCACGTACAATGGGATGCGTGCTCACCTTGCCCGTTGACTTTACCCCTTTCCAGACGCAGAAGTATATGATGATCCACACAGCCAGGAGGCACAAGAGGAGGTGAACGTTGATCGAGCCCGGCTGGTGGAGCCCCTCAGAAATTCTCAGGACTTTTTTCCTGAAAGGGCAACAAAGCTAAAGTTAACAAACTAAAAAAAAACAATATTCACTTCAAATGTACTTGTAAAGCCCTTTGTCGGTCCACTGCTGGGATGAGGGCTTGCCCACACTGTGCAGGACCTGGGTGGGGGGTTATTTGACCATACTTCACCACTCTGGCCAGTGAGGGTCGAAGGTAAGCAGCGTAAGTGTGGGAGCATTGAGGTAGAGTACAACAATTAGCGTTCTTGTCTGCATTTCCCTCTGCTGCCCATCAAGTAAATTTTTCAATGCCTCGCCGATTAAAAAAAAAAGGCGCTCTGTCCTCTCAAAAAGGGCATTGAATATTGTGAATGCGATGGCTCCGTGTTACGGAGAGGAACGTGCTACACTATGTAATAGGTGCGTGGAGATTGGAGGGAGACATTTGTTTTCACGTGGACATTCGTTTTGTCATTAACATTCCCCACAATGACGCTTAATGATTATTTTGTATACCGTCAAATCGGATCATCTTTGCGAGAGTTAACGTGTCCCCTCCGTTCCTTAAAATACAATCTCACACCACTTGATGCAAGAAAAAAAAATCTACATTGGGCTCTGTTCATCCACGAAATCCTTATTGGCAAATCTGCACTATAATTGGCCAATTCATTTTACCCATTGTCAAACCCAAGAAACCTTAGGCGTCCATCTAATTACCTTTTAAATGTCCATAGAACAGGAATTGGAATAGGTGACAAAGCCTTTGCCGTCGCAGCAACGGCGTTGTGTAACAACTTTGTTTCCTCACTTAACATCGTAAATCTTCCTTCAAACAATCATCCTGAAGCAGAAGATTAGTGCCAGGACACAGTCACAGTTGCAAATGCGGATTTGAAACTTTGATCCTCACCCACGTAAAATCGATAGTTCGATGTTCATGTTTGTCATTGTATTGAGGGACTACGGCTGTGTGGCGTTATCTTGGTGTGGTCTGGAACTGCTTTGTTGTTGTTTTTGGTGCCTTGCCCAATCCGGATGAATCGGACTTATATAAATAGTTATTCATCTCGATTTAAAGCTTTCGTGACTGCAGGGATTCATCTTCTTGGTTCTTTCGGTAAAGTCACGTAGAAGGAAAATAATAAAATAATAAAAAGAAAACATAATAAAATAATTCTCACGACGTTTCGGCCACAACGCAAGCAGCCGTCTTCAGGTGGAGAACAGGCAGTCTGAATTCAGACTCTGCCTTCTCGACAGACCTGTTCTCCACCTGAAAACGGCTGCTTGCGTTGTGGCCGAAACGTCGTGAGAATTATTTTATTATGTTTTACTTTTATTATTTTATTATTTTCCTTCTACGTGACTTTACCGAAAGAACCAAGAAGATAGTTATTCATCTATTTACATTTAGTGACCTGCTTACCTTTTTCTCTATTTTGCACTCTTATCGTTTTTTTTTGTGTAGTTCGCTACTATAACTTGCTGACCCCGTGCCCATACTGGACATCTGAGGGGGGGGGGGGGGAAGAGCTTCATAGCTCATCTGATTCCTCCTCCAGTCTAAACAAAGATTCTGATTCTGAAAAAAATTACGGGGTGGCCAACAGCGGCTGGAAATTGTTGAAAACCAGCCGAGGAAACGTTCAACTCACTCCCAGAACTCCACGATGGGAGACGTGGTCTCCACGGCTCCCCAGCAGCCGCCCGTCCCGTTCGTGCCGTTGATGAAAATCCTGGCGGTGGTGGCCAGGGCAGGCGAGGTCTCGTTGGCGTCGTCCGAGTAGTTGTAGCAGCGCTGGTGCTGAAAGTGAACGGCGCATGCCGGGGTGTTCCACTCGTTGTTGCAGGTGGACCAGGGCACGGTGGCCCTGAAGCAGTGGAGCAGGTAGTACATTGCCCAGGTGAGCACCATAATGTAGTAGATGTTGCTGAAGAAGAGCATCACCATCGAGGAGACTCCGAGGCCTGGAACGCATGTGGTGCACACGCGGAGCGAGAGTGAAAACTCGTTTCTTTAGAACTTCTCTTTGTTGCATTTCGTTTTTTGTCCTTTCCACGCACCGCCAAATTGGCACCGTTGGCTGTATACGGTGCGAAATAAATTCAACATCCATACACTATTAAACTACTATACACTACATAACGTTTAACTACACTACTATACACTACACTACTATACACTATACTACTATACTCTACATCTCTAAACTAGATCGAGAACTAATTTGTTTAGAAATGGTTTTTGTGTTTAGTTTGTTGTCCTTCCCATGCACCTCCGATTAGCACGGTTGGGCTACGTACGGTGCGAAATATTTTCAACATACATATATACATACATACACGTGAGAAGTCTGTGAAGACGCAAGCTTGACGAGACGTGGATTCGATAACATAAGCAGATAAATGACCGAAAAGAAAATGTACGTGGGCTTGGGTAGGACATGGTCGCTAAAATGGAGGATGGCCGATGGTCAACAAAAGTAATGGAATGGCAGCCACGGAATGGAATGCGTCCGAGAGAACATCCGCTGTGGTAAAACTAAACTATTTTATAAAAGAAACTAAACAAAAAATTAGTTTTAGCAGGTAAGGCCCCAGTTACCAGGTATATCGCTCTATTTCAGAAGCGACCTGGCCACAAATGATATCTCAATGAAGTGGTTTACCACGTGGAAATGTATAGCAGACAAATAGTTGAAACACATGTTCGTAAATGTGGAGGGAAAGACCGGAGGACTCGGAGAAAAAAACCATGTAACTATGGGGAGAACACGCAAACTCCAAATATGCAGGCGTCAGGGTTGAGATCGAACCCACGGCCTCCTGCATAACAGGCGAGGCAGTTAACATCTCTCCACCGCGGTGCTCTGAGGTGATGGAGCGATGAAGTCAGCTCGTGCGCACTATTCATCTCAGGATCGTGAGAGGTGGTTGACGGCTTCGCGAAGCCTTTATCTAGCGGTGGATTGACCACGTGGCTGATGGTGTCAATGCTGATGAAAAACGCGTGAAATGTTTCACTCCTTCTGACATTCACGTCTCGACAAAATGGCCGAAAACCTATTGCCGTGGCAACGTTTTCCCGTCGTTGGCAACGGAGACGTCGAAGGATGATTGTGCGCCAAAAGAGATTCGCTTTCCAACATGTGCGGGTCGCAGCGTTCGTCTGCGTTTAACGACCCAAGCAAAATAAGACCTGTACCATTGTTTATAACTGCCACGCCGGGAGATCGAATCGAAGTGGAGGCCTCTCGATTGCAAGTCCACCGTGCGAACCGTTACATCGCAGCGGCACCCGTCGCTGCAGTAAGCCTAACGATAATAATCATTTGGAGAAAAAATGTTTAATCCAAAATTTGTTACGCAATGACAGGTCTGCCAACATGCGCGTAGGGTTCAAAGTGTGGGGCATTGTTTGTCTTTGTTTAACAAGCAAAGAGAGTGGTGGAAAATCCTCATTCCTATGGTATACAGGAGGTCGTGGGTTCGATCCCCACCCTGACACCTGTATATTTGGAGTTTGCGTGTTCACCCCATAGTTGCGTGGATTTTTCTCCAGTCTTGCCCTCCACATTTAGAATCAACATGCGTTGAGATTATTTGGCTGCTATAAAATTCCACGTGATAAGCCACTCCATTGGGCTATCATTTGTGGCCAGGTCGCTTCCGAAAAAGAGCTATCTAACTCAGCTGGCCTTATCCGGTGAAATAAATATTTGTAAAAAAAATGCAAATAGACTTGTCACAAAAAGGCACTCATTTCCTTCCCAACGTGCATGGTGTAAAGTGCCCTCCACGCATCAGTGGCATTAGCACGTCTCTAAATACTCTTGCGACCAAGCCAGTTCGCGTGAATTTGAATGGCGTTGTTTCCTGTGACCACACACAGTAAATTCTGCAATATTTAACAAAAAAATTCGTACCATATGTTTATAATAAAGCAATGTAAAGAACCCATCACGCGCAGTGGTTAGAGGCACTGTACTCTGAGAACCATAATGCTCAGTCAAGGCTCAGCTCTCTGGCTTTGGCCTTCCAACAATCAAGCTCAGGTCAGGTTCGTGTCGTTCCGTCGAACTAACAACGGCAGCGCGAGTGAGCAGCGGCAGCAACGTCCCAGATCAGCCTCAGCTTATGGAAGCTTGAGTCTTGCCGGGGACCGTGCTCAGAGCCGGCTCAACTTAAGCGCGTGCAGCCGGCTCACTCGAGTCGCAGCCAATCGTGAGCCGAGTCACCTTGACTAAGAATACGGGCCTCAATCCAAGCGATCTGAGTTCGATTCCCTGGTTACGGCTAACAATCATTCGCGAGCGATGTCTGAGCCGGAGCTGATCTCCCCCTCTCGTAAACCTCCCCCCACTGGCCAGCGTGGGCAAGTATGACCATGCTTCACCGCGCCACCGATGTTTGCCACGACCGGGAATCGAAATCAACAATAGGATTTTACTGTACTGCCATTATCGCAATAAAACAGGAGGTGTTGAGATGTTTAAAAACACCAAATAGATACATTTTGCAAGGAATCAAGTTAGCATTAGCCACACGTACTTGTGGTGATCATGCAAACAAACATGCTCTGATAATATATTCTTGCCAGAAAGGGTAATAATATTTTTTTGATACTGGCCAAAAGGTCCCGTGATATGCATTGCCTTCTACTGCCCACGAAGACTTTTGCAGCGATATTATGCATGGCGGCCACCCATTCAAGTGCTATCCAGACTCCACCCTGCCTACCTTCTGAGGTCTGAACAGTATCGTGTGTATATAATTAGCATAACATTGTAAATAATAGATTTTAAAATGCGCTCATGATTATATGCGTGTATCATGAGCGTTAGACTTGTTATCAATTGTCAAATTTGGCACATATTCAGCATGCCTATAAATTATGGATTTTCTCTCCAAGGCTTGAGGAGCCTAAAACCCGTGCCTAATGTCTCGTGGAATATTCTGCTGGAGTGAGAAAAAAGGACACCAGACAGCTACGGCTAAATGTAATCCGCCGCCTGACACCCATCAAGGTAACGTGTGTAATATTGTGCAGAGGTATTGTACAACCTTGGAACAGGGGCGCGATCTTCCAAATGCCAATGCTGCCTTGTTTCATGAACTGCCCCAGGGCGATCTCCATAAAAAAGATGGGAATTCCGCACGTGACAGCGATGAGGAAGTATGGAATGAGAAAGACACCTGCAGACACAAACGCAATTACACAAAGTCACTCAATCGGCCCAAAACATATGCAATTCACTCACTCACCACAAAAAGCTGTAAAATCAAAATCGAAGTCAAAGTTATTTCCTACTCATTTTTAAGTTTAAGTGGGTCTGGGTGGGTGGGGGTGGGTGGATGGGTGAGTGGGTGAGTGTGGGTGGGTGGGGGTTGGGGGTGGGTGGATGGGTGAGTGGGTCTGGGTGAGTGTGGATGGGTGAGTGAATGTGGGTGGGTGGGGTGGGTAGGGTGGGTGGGGTGGATGGGTGAGTGGGTGAGTGTGGGTGGGTGGGGGTTGGGGGTGGGTGGATGGGTCAGTGGGTCTGGGTGAGTGTGGATGGGTGGGTGAATGTGGGTGGGTGGGGTGGGTGGGGTGGGTGGGGTGGATGGGTGAGTGGGTGAGTGTGGGTGGGTGGGGGTTGGGGGTGGGTGGATGGGTCAGTGGGTCTGGGTGAGTGTGGATGGGTGGGTGAATGTGGGTGGGTGGGGTTGGGTGGGGTGGGTGGGGTGGATGGGAGGGTGTTCACAACCATGTGTCAGTGGTGGAAATTCCATATTCCTATGAGGGGGGCGAATATATCAATACTAGCCTTTGCCCGTCCAAGGACGGGTGTATTTCAGTAAATCTGAATCAATTCGTGTGCAATTTGTAAGGCCGCGGTAACACAGACTTATTTCATTTAAAGGTTATAATCCCTTGTTCATCATGACGTCCTTTTTACTTCTATGTCTCAACGTTACGAAGATCGCGTGACGTGAGGGTTCTGCCTTTGTAGTGAGGGTTGTAAGTTGACGCTGGCCGACGTGGAATGACGTCAGGCGCGGGACACACAGACATTCTTGGCTCATTATAGTAGTAAATTTCAACCGCTGTTGGCTTCCCCCAAAAGTGGTAACCTTTTCATCGACCCCGGAGGAATGATCAAAGCCGAACCAGGATATGAACTCGCGACCTTACAATTGAGTCATAAATTAAATTCCATCCCTCGGCTGTTTTTATCACCACCCATACCCAATATCATGCACTCCATTGTCATTTACTCTGGTTATTTCAGTTCTGGTATTTTTTTAAATATGCGAATTGCAAGGCTCGGTAAATGGTAGAACGAACACAATTTTAAATTTCGGCCCGTAACTTGTAGCAAATGCACACTGTGATGCTATGACAACAGGATTTATGATAGTGCTATAATATTACATTTCAATCATTATAAAGTAGTGCGTGTATATATGTGTATTATATTGGGGAGCAGTGGTGCAGCGGTTAGCGCGCTGCGCTATGAACCTGGCGACCCGGGTTCGATTCCCGCTCACGGCCAACACCAGTGACGATTATCTGAACCGGTCCTGGGCCTCTCCTAGGTCGACTCAGCCTGAAATGAGTACCTGGTGCGGTGTGTAAACATCGCCACTGGGGAGACAAAGGCGGTCGGGCGTGGTGCTGGCTACCCTACCCCCTCGTGTACCGCTTCCGGCCTTCATAGGTGCTCGCTAACAGCACTTGCCCCTACAGTCTGTTAAGGCTATACGGGGGATCTTTTGATCTTTATTATATTGAGGCCCCTCTAAATGCGATGCTCCAGGCTGCAACCCCTCAAGCGCCGTGCTTTACTCCGGTCCTGCTTATGAAGTTATGGATGAATCCCACAGGGCACACAAACATACACTGTGTGGATTGTTCATCAAGTTACACAAACATGCATGTATGTTGAACTTCTTTTGCACCATACGTAGCCAACCATGTGCAGAACATAAATTCGGTGTACTGCATATTTGTATCAAATGTTCTGGACCGATTCACAGCCTCGCTCATAGTTCACCACGTATGTTGAACTCATTCCACACCGTACTTAGACAACCGTTCTTAGCGGAGGTGCCGGGCAAGGATAGCAAACACAGACGCAAGAAACAGTTATAAACAAAACGATTTTTCAATGTAGATGATTTAAAAGTGCATAGCTCCAGTGGCGTCTTTGTATCGGAAGGAAGAGCGTTCCAGACGGCCGTAGAAGCGCATCTGAAAGCGCGCGCGATGCGGTTGACCGTCTCTGTTAGATGCCTGGCCAACCAACAACAAAAACCATGCGGGTTGGTGAAGGTGGGAAGCATACATGTGGGAAATGGACGTCTCAAGTACAACCGTGGATTTTACGCAGTGCCATCTGCCGCACATCACGTAGCCCCACGGCCTACATAACAACCTGCTTACGCATGGCGGTCGAACGTCTCAGGACTGCGTAAGGCTCCACCATGCTCAGCTTCTCGAGAAGTGACGAGAGCGGTTGTACTTTGAGTGATTTGGTCACAAGCTTAACTGACATACATGCCATGATTACCGCACAACTCCTGCGGGCTACACATTTACACTTGTGGGCGGACCGAGGCGGGGCAATTCAAGGAATATTGCGCCAGGTGATATAATTGAAGCGACGACCTCTTGGGGTTACCAGTCCGGTCTTCTCCGTATGGCTGACGTCGATGGAGAGCAACACGTAACGATATTTTACATTTCAGTGGTTGGGCCAGATAATTGCGTCAGGAGGAGCGGAGTGCGTCTCTGTGATACCTCCTTTTGTATTTGCGAATCGGGCATCGGGTCCACGTACCTTCCGTGGTCTGATAATATGGGTGACTGCAGTCGAACACCGGAGATTATATATAGTTTTTCATTTGTCCAGTGTTTCAACCATTTCACCACCAGAAACGTACTTCTGGTGTGTCATGTAACGAACCACAGCGTCAAACTCCCCCTACCCCCAAACTTAGGGGCCGTCCATAAATGACGCCACGCGATTTTGGACGATTTTGACCTCCTCCCTCCATCGTCACACGGCGTCACAAAAAGTCAGACCCCCCCCCCCTCAAATATGACGTCACAAAGCTCTGCCCCCCCCTAAAAAAAAACATGCTTCAAATCGCTTTAAACTATTGCCATTGTAGTGCGTGTTTAATGTGCCGCTGCACTCTGATGTTGAAAGAGAAAACATTAATTAAAACGTCTATTTAGTTAAGTAGAACGTGTTGTCTACATTTGTTTAAAGTTGTGAATTTTGATGTGACGTCACATTTCTCAAACCCCCCGCCCTCGTCACACATCGTCACAAATGTCTGACCCCCCCCCCCCCCCCCAGGTGCGTGACTTCATTTATGGACGGCCCCTTACATAGGAATAGACAACCTCTAGTTCTAGATTTGAAGCTTTCGTGACTGCAAGGATTCATACTCTTAGTTCTTTCGGTAAAGTCACGTAGATAAAAAATGAAATTAAAATAAAACAATAAAAATCACGACGTTTCGGAGGCAACACAAGTCTCCGTCATCAGGTGGGACCATCACAGCCAGATTAGCTGCATCATAATCTGGCTGTGACGGTCCCACCCTGATGACGGAGACTTGTGTTGCATCCGAAACGTCGTGATTTTTATTGTTTTATTTTAATTTCATTTTTTACCTACGTGACTTTAACGAAAGAACTAAGAGTATGAACAACCTCTAGTCATTACATACGCACACCACCAAACTGCTTCCTCGGTGGTCAAGACGAGTATTAAAGTGGCAACCAAAGGAGAAAATGTGCCGAAGGGTTAGCAAACCACAACGATGGAGCGCTCACATCGGGCTCACGTGCAGAGATTGGAGATTGCAGTTGCGTAACTCGCGTGGCGTGGGCGGCAGGGGGAGGGGTGCCTTTCCCCCCCCCCACCACCACCACCAACTCCTCGTGATCAAAGCTACGAGTTGGGGGCCCCGCCGAACCGATTGCCGCACCCCCTGAGCTGATAATGTTGTTGAAGTCACGGGAGGGTTGGCAACGATTCTGTGGAGGCCATCATCCGGCATGCTGATGGTGACAATTAGGGGAACCAGCCTCGACCAATGGACAACCACTGCTGTTGTCCCCCCACACTCGCGCGAATAACTGTACTCTATATGTATATCAGAGTGTATAGTTAGTTTGTTTGTATGACGCAGTGGCAGTGTCAATTCCGAATATCAATCGTGCAATCTCTACCACCTTGTGGGAGGGAGGGAGGGAGGTCAGGGGCAGTGATTGTAACGCATACTCCGATTAGCACGGATTGGATACGTACGGCGCGAAAGAAGTTCCACGTACATACATACGCAACGTGGAGAGACTGACCCCTTCAATAATCATTGTAGCGACGATCAATCCACTGATGCAGGTAGAAGTCATTCCGATTGGCTAAACATCTCAGGCGTCCGTGTGTGATCGTGAGCTGCGTGCCACGTCTTTGTCGAGTGAGGGTTCAAGTCCCACACATGACGACGATCCACCGTATCGCCTGTAGCAGACTTTTGGGGCAAGTGCTGTAAGCGAGCACCTATGAAGGCCGGCTGGGCTCGCAAGGAGGTGGGTGGCCAGCATCACCCCGGGCGTCTTTGTCTCCCCCAATGATGATGGTTGCACACCGCACCAGGTACTCGTTTAAGATCGCACCCCCCACCCACTCACCTGTATTAGGACGTAGGATTTGAGGGGCGTAGGGATGAGAAATTAAACCTCGCTTTACATTGTCGCGCTGGGCAACGATTCAGATGATGCCAAACTACTGGACATCTGTGAAAAAGAGCTTTATAGCTCATCGGATTCCTCCAGTATCAATATTCTGATTCTGAAGCCCGGCGTTTGCCTTCAATCATTAATGACAGCGGCGTGAATTAAAATGCATTTTGAAGGGTCCCCGTCACAGCACACCAATAGCACATTATTAGCGTTATCAGCTATATCGTGAGCGTCATCACGTAAATGATCGATGTTTTGCCAACTACTGTATGTGTAAGTGGTGAGGGGTGGGCGGGGGCATCCAGAGACAGACACAGACAGATCCAAAGATGCAGACTTTGACAGGGTAGGAGAGTGACAATTGAGAGAGAGACACACAGACATACACACGGAGACATACACGAGCAGAGATGGACACGTTGAGACAGATACGAAAATATGCGGAGAGATGAGAAGTACATACACGTGCACACGGACAAGCGTATGTATGTGTAACTTCTTTCGCACCGTACGGAGCCAACCGTGGCAATCGGAGGTGCGGGGGAAGGACATCATCAAAAGCAGCCATTGGCCACGAAGAGACGGCGACGTCACCACTTGCAATTGTGCCAGGCTAGGTGCACCTTGAGGCAATCAATGGCATTGTCGAGGCTCGCTGGTAGGAGGTCAGGGTGTCATTGAGCCCTACGCGTGTGCACAAATACAAAGACCCCCCCCCCCGTATAGCCTTAGGGGCCGTCTATAAATGACGTCACGCGATTTTGACGATTTTTGACCCCCCCCCTCGTCACACGGCGTCACAAAAAGTCAGACCCCCCCTCAAATATGACGTCATAAAGCTCTGCCCCCCCCCCCCAACCATATTTCCATTTTGAAAATAAAACATGCTTCAAATCGCTTTAAACTATTGTCATTGTAGTGCGTATTTAATGTGGCGCTGCACTCTGATGTTGTAGGAGAAAACATTTATTGAAAAGGAGGCGTTGGAAAGCTTAAATTTAGCATAAAATTCACTTGCAAATATTTAACGTCTAACTAAAACTGCAGATATTCAGAATATTGTATTGAAATTATCTTATAATTATAAAATATTAAAAGTAAATTTTTACTATAAAAAATACTTGAAACTTTGTAGTAGAACGAAGCAAAATGGAGAGTACAATTATAACAATCACATATTCATTCCACAGAATGAAAAGCCCTGGTAGAATCATTAGAATCAAAATGTTTAATAACAATAATTTAAAAAATGTACAAAATGCATGCTTCTCCATTCTCCCACGGAGAAGCAAAATGCTCATTCATGGAATAAATAAAAGGTGACCTTAGTAAATTAAAATAATCAAATAGTTAATAATGAAAATGTATAAAAATTAGTGTTGTTATAACAATTCTATATTTATTTAAAGTTGCGCATTTTGATGTGACGTCACATTTCTCCCCCCCCCCCCCTCATCACACATCGTCACAAATGTCTGACCCCCCTCCCCCAGGTGCGTGACGTCATTTATGGACAGCCCCTTAACAGACTGTATGAGCAAGTGCTGTTAGCGAGGACCTATGTAGGCTGGCACGGCGCACGAGGGGGTGGGTGACCAACACCACGCCCGGCCGCCTTTGTCTCCCTAGTGGCGATGTTGTTTACACACCGCAACAGATACTCATTTGAGGCTGAGTCGACCTAGGGGAGGCCCAGGAGCGGCTCAGATAATCGTCACTGGGTGTTGGCCGTGAGCGGGAATCGAACTCGGGTCGCCGGGTTCGTAGCGCAGCGTAGCGCTAACCGCTACACTACCGACAAAGATCCCCCGTATAGCCTTGACAGACTGTGGGGGCAAGTGCTGTTAACGAGTAGCACCTATGTTTGCCGGCACGGCACACGAGGGGTTGGGTGGCCAGCAACCATGCCCGGCCGCCTTTGTCTCCCTAGTGGCCATGTTTACGCACCGCACCACGTTACTCATTTGAGGCTGAGTCGACCTAGGGGAGGTCCAGGACCGGTTCAGATAATCGTCACCGGTGTTGGTCTTGAGAGGGAGTCGAACCCGGGTAAATTGCGCAGTACGCGAACCGCTACACTACCGCCCACCCCCACACACACACAGACACACACACAGACACACACACAGACACACACACAGACACACACGTGCACACAGACACACACACACAGACACACACACAGACACACACACAGACACACACACACAGACACACACACAGACACACACACAGACACACACACACAGACACACACACAGATATATACATACACACACACAGACACACACGTGCACACATACACACAGATATATACACACACGCACAGACACACACACAGACACACACACAGACACACACGTGCACACACACACACATACACACAGATACATACACACAGATATATACATACACGCACACGAAGACACGTGCACGCACACAGACAAAGATCACCCGTATAGCCTTTAAGAGACTTGTCGGGGCAATTGCTGTTTAGCGAGCAGCACCTACGAAGGTTCGACTTGGCACACGACGGGGTGGTTGGCCGGCACCATGCCACACACATGCACACGTGCACACATACACACATATACATACACACACACACATGCACACGTGCACACATATACACACACACACACACATGCACACATACACACATATACATACACACACACACATGCACACGTGCACGCGCACGTCAGCAGTACCTCCTCCGTTCTTGTAGCACAGGTACGGGAATCGCCACACATTTCCCAGGCCCACTGCGAACCCGATGCATGACATCGTGAAGTCCAGCTGCCGTGTCCAGGTGTCTCTCTCGGGTGACACTGCCCTGCCCCCCCCTGATTCTCCACCACCACCGCTGCTGCTACTGCTTGCTTCGCCCTCCACCGCGGGCAGCTTCTGCGGCGGTGTCGGCAGAGGCACCACGCATACATCCGTGGCTTCATCACCACCAACTCCACCGTCACCGTCCTTCTCGGCGTAAGGGTTCTCCGCCCAAAGGGTTAATTTTCGCATCGTCCGATCGGTCACAATTCGCGCTGCGACTTCAGCGCTCAAGCGCCGACGCAGCGTCCGTCAGGGAACAGACAGCAGCCGTCCGTCCCTTCTGCGTCTGTTGTGTGTCTGACGTCCGAGTCTCGGGGATGTTTCGTGTCCTCCCTCCCTCCTTCCTCCTCGTCCACCCGACGACTATCGTCGTCGCGTCCTTTCCTGCGAATTGACCGCGGACGGAGTCGCTCTTTGGCAAGGGCGCCGCCGACGCGGATGATTCAGAAGCCGTCAACGAAGCACTTGAACGTGAGCCGAAAAAAACGCATGTGGGGCGAGGAGCCGCGGTGAAGAAGCAGGCGAACTACCAGGAGGAGGAGGGAGGGCTCCTCCTGTCCTCGGTCAAGATTGTGTCTCTTCGGTGTCACCCACTTCTCTCACGTCTTATCGAAGCCCCCCCTCTGCCCCCCACTGTCTATCTGATGCTATCACTCGCTCGCTCGCTCTCTCTCTCTCTTTACTTTGCGAGAGATGCAGCCAAAAAGCTGGCGCCTAAGAGAAACAAAGTTGCTTGGAGCAAATGAGGGATTTGGGAAATCAGAGGTCACCGTCCGCTCCTCCTCCTCCGTCGATTCCGCGTGAGCTCGCGGCAGTGCTGAGTCTGACTGAGCTCCCTGCGCGCTGTCCTATTTATAGACGGTGTGGGGTGGAGGAGGGGGGAGGGAGGAGGATCGGAGACTGATCGTAAAAAAAGAGAGACATTGGAAAGCGGTAGTGGATGCGTTCAATTTGCTCGTTTTTTTTTTCTGAACTCCATTTGGTCGAGGCGAAATGCACGTTTGTATAATTAATTCTACTGGGTTTCTTCACAGAGATAAGTAATTAAGTATCTTGATGACCCGCCCATGCTGGACATTTGTGATAAAGAGCTTCATAGCTCATCGGATTCCTCCAGTTTAAAATAGAAATTCAGATTCTAAAAAAAATCACATATATCATCAGCAGCAGTAGCCATGGTCAATCCACTGCTGGATGAAGGCTTCACAAAGCTGCCGCCACCACCTCTCTCACGATCCTGCGATGTCGGTAAACTAAAACTAATAATAATAATTCGCCTAGCACCTTGCACACGAACTGATTTCCATCGTTTCAGTCTCCTCGTGAGGTGTGTTCTCAGACGCGTTCCATTCCTTGGCTGTCTCGCTCCGTTATCCATCTTGACCACCGGCAATCATCATCCCTCGTGAGCCACGCGCCCCGCTCAAGCCCACGCGTATACCTTTGTGAACAGTTTCCTTCCACGTCTTCATTATTGAACGTCACATTAGTAGCGTGTTTACGTGTTCCGGCTTGTCCACATGTACTGATAAGAGATTATCCGATTATGTATTGATATTCATGGCGGAAAGGGCCTCCACTGGAGTGAACTCTGAAGTGGTATTTGGTCTACTCTTCCACGTTGAGCAGAAGTATTGGAATAGGTGGGCGAACCCACACTTTACCCCACCACACGCGGCCTGCCTGCCGAATGTCTAATCGTGGACAGAGGCGTGCGCTAGGTGGACAGAGGAGCGTGGAGGGACGATTTGAGAAACCTGCATCAGTTGTTTTACCTGCCGCGCTGGGAAATGGCAATTGAACCGGTAACCTTGCTTAATTGAAAGTCCCGTTCGCAGGGGACCAAAACATGATTACACCGCAGCAGATCCACTTCCTAGATTATGTAACCGTGTTTAATTTTACCGTTCACAATAACGCGTTTGCAATGTTCGCGGTCTGCTCAAGTGAATGCCTTCTGAGGTTTTATTTTTATTTGAAAGAAAAAAAAAATCTATATTTATATACAGTATATGATTCCAAAAAAATTCTCATTCAAGACCTGCACAAATATTTTCCCTTCTTTATTTTTAGACTTTCAATTAAAGTGCGGCTCGGGCATGATCTTTGGAATAAGCCGTGGCAATAAGGCATTGTCGAGATAATCAGCAAGTGTAGGTTTAGTTGTCATAAATGTATGTATGCCGAACTCGCGTTCGCACCGTACGTAGGTCGTGGACACGTGCAGGGTGGTGGAGGACAATACCGACACACACATTGCAGAGGTCGTCAACCAAGGGGATGTTGGTGGCACACTACAAGTGCGGACATTGTGAGGGTTAGGTGTCGCAGTGCATGCAGCTGAAGGAAGCGACTATGGGGTGCGCTGGAGGTGACAGGTGTGCCGTGTGCGTGATGAATTGCACCTGAGATCGCGTTCTCCAGTGATTGTTGAGTCTACGGAGGCAGGGCCGTATTATCCACAGTAGGCACTGTGTCTAGGGCCTACGGAAGGTACAGGGCCGAGGGGGAAAAAAGTTCACCAAGTTTTTGTGTTGTATGCTAAAAAATGTAACCAAGATATCTTCTTTAATATATTTATATAGCAAGGATAGGCACAGTGTATATACAAAGAGGCAGAGTCATGTCAATGTCAATCTTTTTGTTTCATAAGGTGAGAGAAATTAATACCGGAGATGAACTTTCCGATATTTTTTCATTGCAAAATTTGCAATACCTTCTTCAAATTGTGTTTTTCGTACAATCTCATTCTCAATAGAGACAAGGCGTTGTTGCCATATGGTTGATCGGAGACTTAAAAAAATCAGCTTTAGCGAGGCGCAGCGGTGGTAGTAGTAACATGAGGCAGCAGTCCCAACCCTAGTGAGTTATCACTGAAGGCGCACAAAATAGAAGTGCCTAGGGCCTACAAGAACCTTAATCCGGTCCCGTGGAGGATGCTCGTAAACGACACTATTGGAAGGAGTGTTTATTCAAAGCCTCACTTGAGTACGAACAACTTCATTTCTCACATCTGGATGTTTGGCCCATGCATTCGAACGAGCGTTTGTAGGACTGGAGATTAGAGGAGAGTTCGTGGAGACATCCCACGCAGACAAGGAGACGGCACCTAAAATCCGTTCGGTGAACCACTTTCTCCATACAAATTTCGTTTTGGGTTAGATCGCGTTAGATCACGACCGAACCCAAAAACCCCCTCTTATTATGGATATTGGTCGCAAAAGCCTACTTTCTGTTCTGCAATCGCCTGGACACCTCGAACCTCAGCTGTTCGGGAGTCGCTTAATCACACGACGCGGCTTAGCGACTGGAATTACCCAGTAACTCCGCTCGATACATTTACTTCTGAGTGCTCTTCCCTCGTGGGAATTGGGCTCTTGTAGAGAAGTAGGCACAATGGTCTACTCCTGTTAATTCTGCCACAAACTATCAACTTGGTACATTGGTGAGTACACCACATTACTGGGCCACCTCGAACGCTGCAGGGACACATATCGCCTGCGCAGATTATGCAATAAATAATGAATGTTAGCAACTAACGGTAAAATTGGATTATGGCCATGCTCACACTGGATTAAGTCCAGGATAGTTGCGAGAGGCGTTACAGATATAAAAAGTGTCTGCTGTGTAATCAATGAATCAAAACAGACCAGAAATTCAGGAGTTTTTTTCCAGGAAAATAACATGGAAATTTGTTAATAATTATTTCAAACAACGCGTACATCAGTTACGTATCAAAAAAGGCAAGCGATACTAACGCTACAAGGACACCACGTTTTGATCCAGGGAGCTTTATTTTTTGTATGAGCTTGTAAAGTTTGTGCATTAAAAAACTAATTCACTTAAGCAGTTGAGACGATCTTACATCGTCTCAACCGGTAAGTGCCGAATGTTGCTTATGCGGAAATGTAACAGATCGTCCAAAGAAAGCATGTTCGTGCCTCTGCCGCATGTCGCAACGGTTCGTGGATGAAGCCCAGTGTCCGCCCTGGTTAATGGCACGAGTGTATTAACCATAGACACGTGCAGTCTGCCGATAGTGGACGTAAAATACTCCATGGAAATTTGAAAAAAAAACTCACAAAAACAATAATTGGGTACAATCACAGGAACATCACCGACTGGCGGACTATACTGTACTATGTGAAACAAAGCGCCTCAGTGATAGCCTTGAACTATAAGGATGTCCTCAATAACACCGATTTAAAATTAGTAAGACAAATGCATTTAGGGGCATAATAATGTCATAGATAGGTTATCAACCTGCTTGCTGTACTGTTATTTCGGTGGTGAGATGTTAACTACCTCGCCTGGTATACAGTTCGTGGGTTCGATTCCGACCCTGACGCTTGTATACTTGGGAGTTTGCATGTTCCCCCCGTGGTCGCGTGGATATTTATCCGGGTCCTCCGGCTTTTCCCTCCACATTTCAAATGAACGTGCCTTTAGAGTACTTGGTTGCTATAAATGTCCACATGATGATAAGCCCATTCGTTGAGCTATTATTTGTGATAGCCAGGTCGCTTCTAAAAAAGAGCTATATAGCTGTGGGCTTCACCTGGTAAAATAAAAAATTGTTCAGTTAATTTGTTAACCATATTGTCGCCCAGCAGTTGGGAATCTCGCGCACACGATGGATGTAGTGTGCGTGATGCACCAATCCTCCTGTATCTGGAGGGATGTGGCACTATGCCTGCATCTTCAATCGAGCCAAAAAAGTTATCGTTATTAAATAACTGCCCACAGTAAATATGTGTAATAAAAGGACTCAGACACTTCTTTCTGTCTTCGTGTCCTTTATTGGGTTCTTGTCTTCTCCCACACGGCACTCTGTTATAACTCTGTACTTGTAGCCCCCGGCTGTTGACTGCTTTTATAGCTTCCCTTCTCTTCCCGCAGACTCTCTGCTTCATCTACCGTAACCTCTGTTCTCTCCCTGCAGACTCGCTGCTACCCCTATGCAGACTCCCGCTGCTACCCCTATATGCAGACCCTCTGGCTGCTACCGTATGCAGACCCGCTGCTGACTCTGTATGCAGCCCCGCTGCTGACTCTCTGTGCAGCCCCGCTGCTGACTGCAGCCTCCTCGCTGCTTCGGGTCGGTCACCGCTGGCCAACGGTGCCGATCCTCGCTCCCCCGTGTTCGTGGCGATCTCGCCACCCTCCGCTTCGCCCTTCGTGGCCTCTCTCTGTTCCTGGTTCCCCGTCCCTCCTCGTCCTCCTCCGGTTCCCCTCCTTCTATAGCCTAACCCCTCACCCCCCCACGTGACCTAACTCCTCCCCTCCTGACGTCACCTCCGGAGGGCCGTTTACGCCCGCATTACATCACCCTCCCCCATAAAGAAAATCCAGCCGACCTCGGCTGAATTGCAACCTGACAAGAAATGCGGGTGTAAAGGGCCAACACGTAAAAAAGACACGAAGCATGCAACAACAATATAACCAGAACACAACACAATACAATTTTAACGAAACATGAGGGATTTCGAGCGAGTACGGGTAGCCGGGCCGTCCCGAACGGTCGGCAGCCCAC